TCAAGACATCACGCAAATTCAGCAGCGGCATCTTCCCTGTTCGAAAGTTTATGTAAACAATTTTCCAAGAAGAGCTGTAACCGTTGCTATGTCTTGCACATGAGTTTTTTTTAAACTCTGTACGTTTAGAGTAGTCAAGCCGGAGTGGTTTATTCAGGCAATTATACAGCATGCATAATAAATGAGAAAAGAGCCTTACGTCATGCTCAGCCAATATTGTTGCAGGTATGTGTTAGAAATTCGAATCCTGCTCTTCTGCCATCTAATGATAAAAGGGCTGAAGTTGATGTACCAACTCGCACACTCCACTGCACTGCCGAATGAAATGCTGCCTGAAATACCACTCCAGATTATAATTAGTGACATCTTCCCTCTTAAAAAAAGGCAGGAACTACAGACAAATGAAGGCGAAATGCGCCTACCAACTTCACCTATATGAAAACAACTACGAAACACTACCATAACCTAAAAATCTTCCAATAATTTACGAAACCAACCTCACGGAACAACAGCTAGGATCATAAACTACAGCTCAATCAACTTAGCACGAAGCACTATGAAACAAATAACCAACATTTCGCCACTGAATCGCCTACATCCTCGCACCCATTTATCACATAACCTCTCGGTCACCGGATTGTTACTGAACCCAGCAACCTCTAACACCCTGCTCAAATCGATACCAGACACAAATCTTGAATACCTGCACGTCTACCTATAAACCACCCAGTGAAATCGCCCACTGGTAACCGTACTTTCAAACACGAACTTATCCTCGTCACAATTCATGTTGGCACTCAAGACATCACGCAAATTCAGCAGCGGCATCTTCCCTGTTCGAAAGTTTATGTAAACAATTTTCCAAGAAGAGCTGTAACCGTTGCTATGTCTTGCACATGAGTTTTTTTTAAACTCTGTACGTTTAGAGTAGTCAAGCCGGAGTGGTTTATTCAGGCAATTATACAGCATGCATAATAAATGAGAAAAGAGCCTTACGTCATGCTCAGCCAATATTGTTGCAGGTATGTGTTAGAAATTCGAATCCTTTTTCTTGCATTGTTATGCACGCAGGAGTTCATATAAAAGCTGGCCATTGTCGGTCCATGTTTACAACCCCGTTAGCGTTAGCAAAATTTCCGTTCTTATATTACGACCGTTTACCATTTCCAGCAATGCGTCTTGTGCGCAGGAATGGTTTCACCTAGGTAGGGACGATGCTTGCGCTTGCGCAGGCCTCCGCCCTCAGTTAGCTTCTTTGGTTGGTTTCCATGTTTACACATTGTTGGTATGGATCTTACACATCTTCGTAACGCTGTTTTTGCCGAATGACCCTTCCGTATAGACGTATTTACGTCTAAAAATAATTTGCAAGAAAGGAAAATAATTCACACAGACACAGTGCAATAATAATGAACCTCGACTTGATAGAACAAGCACTGGGACACAGAACCACTAGCTTTTCGTTGACAAAATTCCCGATGTAAAAGCGTGGTTATTAACGCGACAAATACAAGAACTTTATCAAACTCATATTGCAGTCGCATTCACTCGATAGCCTGCATCATTACGTATATAGCTGTTTACTTTCGTAACTACGTCCCACCTCGTGGTATCTCACCAGCCAATGGCAATAGTGACACTTGTGATGTCATGCGTCATGCTCGGGGTAGAGCGCAGAGTAGTAACGGAGAGTGTGCAGTTGGTGTCTGGCCACAGTGGGAAGGGTAGTTGAATGGGTTGGAATTAAGGTCTGTGGGTTCTTGAATAGAACCATTGCGAAACAGTGTTTATTTTAATCTAAAACAAAAGTATTATTGTTTCCTGTATTGTAGGCATACAGGCTGGATATTTATGCATTCATAATCATTTAAAAGTGGCTTGCATTTTAAAAAAATTACAAATTTATGAAATTACTTTTTTATTTTTAGATGCCGGTATTGCAACAGGTAAGTAATGTGTGTTTACATGGTTGAAACCCTTTCAACATGCGATATGAAAGTAATATATTTCAGTTTTACTGCTTGGCATTGTGCTTAAAGAGTCTGTTGTTGCGAACAAGTGTTTGTTTTGAAGGACTTGTACGTTAAAATAAAAAAGACCTAACCTATTTGATTATGAATTTACAAAAATAGTTCTTTGTAATCGTGGTTGTAAAGTTTCGTAGGGGAATGGACAAATGAATATGAGATTGTAGGTGCAGGAGTAATCCTCGTGCACTCCGTAGGTGAGTTTTATTTGCATTGCCCATGAATTGTCACATGTATACGTAAGCATAATGAGCTGTTCCGTTTGACCTATAATAGTATGACGTTCTTGTAAATTATAATCTGATACGGTACAAGATTAATTGTTCTTTAAGTGGTTCGTTGAAACAAGTAGCAAGTAAATAAATCGTGAGAGACAATTTTGAACGTAAATGCTTTGTCCGTTTTAATTTGACGGAATGTTACATGCGTCACGTGACAACAGATGCAGGTGTGCAGAAAGTAAAATGACCGCGCCCTAAGAACCATCTATTAGTGAGTTAGCTGCTAATTTATAGTGGGCCATTGTTTAATGACTGTCTGGAATAACTGGTTTGGAAAGGCTTCCGTCTGTAATGTTGTAACATACTGGTAAATATTGTTTTGTAAATAATATTTATCGGTCCCATATTCGTCATAGGAGTATGGGAACAATTTCGAGCGTAGAAATGAAATGTTTCGCACAGTATTACTCGCGTAGCAGGTGACCTGCAATGAGTCGACATAGTCCGCTGCTCTTACTCATTCCTCGCGACAATCGATTGTTTGGTAGGAATATTTGACCTGTTGCATTCAGTAATCATACGAGTCAGGTGTTTTTTTATTCTTCGTCTCTTTTAAGCATCTTTAAGAATTCCGACAACGGCTTCTTTTGAGATCGCAAAAACAAATACATGTTTCTTTAGTCTTTATCGTATATTGTCCCTAATGCGTTAACACGCAGACTAAATAGCAACAACTAGTGTAACGTGAAAATGACGTTTCTGTCAAAACATTGCACAATTTTGAAGTGCAATGATGTGGTCGGAAGAGATACCAAAAAAATGGAAGGAATCCACAATTATTCCTATTTATAAAAAGGGAGACAAGACTTGAGTGTGGTAATTACCGAAGAAATTGTCTACTGTCAACCTCATACAAAATTCTTTCAAACATTCTACTGGTGAGATTCACTCCATATGTGAATGAAATTATTTGGGACAATCAGTGTGGATTCAGATTGATCAGATATTTGGCATCCGTGATACTAGAGAAAAATGAGAGTACAGTACATCAATTGTTAATTCTTTCAAAAAAGCCTACGACTCTGTTAATATTCTCATTGAATTTGGTATTCGTATATTCATATCATTTTCCATCATAAAATCCATTGTTGTATCCATATATTAAAACGGTGATAAAATCAGCAGTAGTAAGCAATTGTTACCAACCTCATGCACATTTTCTCTCCAATTACTGGAGCAGTAAGTGAGAAACTACCGGTAATATATTCTTTATTTTCAACAAAACCTCTAACTCGGATAAAAAATTGACACTGGAACCACGGTTCCGGAGAATCTGACGTAAATACGTCTCTGTATTAAAATTATATTTAAGCAATGGAAACAATGAAAGGAAGGTAGCTGAATGTAATGGCAAAATTATCTACTTCACGACGCACTTCTTCTACAATCGATTCACAGCTCAGATCTTTCCGCAATAACGAAAGCGGATTATTGACGGCAGTAATGAAACACAACAATGCCGAGTAAACAGATGACGTTTACTAGGTAACATAACAATGCACGCAAGCTGACCATTGTTGTCGATTTGTTGATACGGATCTTACAAATTTTCCTTTCACTTTTTTGCCGAAACGACCCTTCTGTATAGACGTATTTACGTATTCGGTATGCCAATGAAACTAATTATGCTGTGCACCATTGCTTTTTAATTTTTCACTACAATTCTCAATTGTGAAGGTCCAAGAATGTGAGGGGGGGGGGGGTCACGAAGAAATTAAAATCGGGTTGAATTCGGGGAGTGTTTGTTACCACGCAGTTCAGTTGTTTTGTTTTCCTGTCTACTGTCTAGAAACGAACAGTTCTCTAACTTTGCTACTTCTTCTGTGAATGTGGAACACGCAGAGGGGAGAACATTAGAAGAGAGAAATTACCAACAGGAAACTGCGGTGTTATATTTAAGCAAAATTGTAGTAATAAGTGTAGTGTTGTCTGCCTGCACAGAGAAAGATTAAGTTGTGCAAACTTTACGAACATTAAAGATGAAGAGTGTGCGTGGTTGCCGGCGTTTGCTACTTCGTTCATGCCAACTTAAATTGTGAACGAGCATTACGTGTCCACTTGCCCTCGGTGTTCTGAGGCCGAGTTGCCCCACTACCACCTCAGTCCGTGGTGTGCTGTTTTTGCAGGTGGTTGTGCCGATGCCCGATTCAGATCCCGCGCCCCTTTCTGGGCGCCCAGACCCCAACAACGTGGAGTTCCTGCAACACATCAATGCAGTGCTCGACAGCCCCTTGGACCTCGGCGAGTCTCTCCCACGAGGGTCCCCAGATGACGGTAAGAAGTCTCATTGTATTTTTACTTTCATCAACACTCGTATTCAGATTTAATTTAATTTGTTCTGGTCAGTCGAACATTTTCCTTCGCAAGAATACTCGGTTGCGAATTTCTTGAATTCTGTGCCCTACTTTCTAGAAAAAACGTAAACCTACCCGATGTTGCCCTGTGCCCATTCGTAGCAATTTTACCATCTGCGTGAAGACAACTCAAAGGAGATGCATTTGTGGTCATCGTAAAACCGCACAGCGACTTCTATGACGTGGTCATGTCGTTAGTTCGTTGTGTAGCAAATATGTAAAATGTCGGTGCCGAGTTGACATTTATTTTTTCAACAAGGAATTCAAGGCCTTCACGTCTTTGCCAGTAGTTACACAGCGCGGAGGAGGGAATTTGTTCTCTTATCAATAGATATCATTTGCCTGATCATCAGATACGCATCGTTGGGTATTGTAAAAACTAACCTCACACCTCAGACATTTATCTTCCAGTATAATCCATTAATCAGAGCTTCGCCCTTTCCGTCTGTATGAAAGTCAATCGCAGATTGGAACTTTTTGTTCCTCGGGTAAATTTGTTGAATTTTGCGGAACGTAAACTGAGGAAAGAAAGTAATTAAATTCGCAAACACTGATTTCGATTGTGAAATTATTATTCTACGAAGAGAGAAAAATATTATACACAGCCTTTTCTGATGATGCTTAAAATTGTTCTTGAGAATTCGTCGGCTTCTGTCGAGAGACCTGAAGATTCAAGGCGAAACATCTTCATAAACACCAGTTTCTGCGTGAACGACATTCCTCTCTCAAATCGATGGCCACTTCTTTCCGAGACTGGAAATGTGACCTTTCAACCTCGGACGGGTGGTCAGGAGCCCCAAGACCACGCGACGAACTTCGGTTCGAAGCGTCGCAGGGAGACCAAATTTTGGGTTGCAGTGGGAGGCCAGCCGAATGTGGCTAGGTTCTTCTGTTACACTGCCTCCGCTATCTTCAGGGTATTACAACACTTGCTGTGTGCGTGACCTCGAAAAACCGAATTCCGAAAACCTTTAATGTAGTTTGAATGCACGTGGTATTGATCATCCTAATGTCGTATAAAATAAGCAAACAAACGACTATTGACGCTATAAAGACGACGCTTTTGCCACACGCGTTTCGACCTCAAGAGGTCTTCATCAGTGGCATCACGGAAATTAATTCATTTAATCAAATGGATTTAGAAAATAAGCAATGAATGGGATATTTTAAGCGGCACTGCACTAGTGTCGCGGTGGTTCCCAATGTGTGGCGCGCAGACCACGGTGGCCCATGAACTTCGGAACAAAAAGTAAAACAAAAAGAATGTCGCGATGCTTGAGAAATTAAGTTCTTACCAAGTTTTTTAAGACTCTACAGGACGGCGCCTCGCGGTTGTTAAATAGCAAATATTAAGTGGCCCGTGTTCAGTCGCCTTATAGTGACGACGAGATTCAGTAGGCCCAGCGACGCCTGCCGGCGTGTTACTGACGCGCCAACTCGACGTTCGTCTTCTCCCAGGGGCGCCGGGCCGGCCGCCTCCCCCTCCCCCTCCGCCATGCACCAGACGCCTAGTGACCGCACCGAGGCTTTTGCTTTGCGACTGATGACGTAGCGAACGTACGCCGTCGAACGAATTTTGGCGTTCAATTAATCTCCTCTGAACTTGGGAAGCTGCGTGGCGCTGTCTCGGTGAGTCCCAGCGATACCGGAGGGCGAAGGGCCACTGTCTTCAGGTGACTGCTTCGTCGCGTCATCGTCAGGGAGTGATTCGTCGCGAGAAGACGGAAGGGAAATTTTCAAACCGATGCTAAGCGGTTTCTGTAGTAGTCGGATGGCGGGAACTTGGCAATCTAAGAAACAAAGACAGTAGGATGGGTAACAAATATAATTCATGGCGTGGCGCTCAGTGTATTCGAAACTAGGTCTAGCAATGGGACTTTTTGGCTACGACGCACGAAACGGGCAACGCCACCGGGTCCCAGATGCAGCCCAAGAACTGGTCCTAATCGAGGGTCGTTAAAAGCGGGATCTTGGTTCATTCCGCACTGTTTTTTTCGACAAAGGCGGTTTCTGTCGCAAGAATTGTTTCTCGTTGAGTGCTCATTCTACAAACATTTTATAAAACGAAGACTGTGTTCATTCCGCACCACGAATAAGGAGCTCCTCTTTCACTTGACGGGGAACCCCCCCCCCCCAACCGCTCTGGTCACTCTCGCTCTCTCTCACTGACGCAGTGCGTTTATTGAAACTTGGCACGGGAAGCCCAGGGCGAAGTGCCCCTCGACGGTCCACTGTCGGGATGTTTTCGATGTAGTTGCTGGACACAGCTGTTTCGAATCGTTTTCTGCCTTTCTCGCGTTGGGGCAGTTTAATTCAGAACCTGTTTTGGGAACGCGGATTTACAAAAGAGCGAGGCAGACGGCCGATGAATTTACGTAAACATTGTCACTTATGACCTTACACTCTCTGGCCTCTCGGTTTTTGAGATGGCTGTTAAATTTATAGGAAATTTGCGTGATCACTATTATTATTGCTATATTTCTACGTTTTACTCACAAGCGTAGTTTCTTTTATTCATTATCGTTACTCGTGCGTAATTTTCAAGCCGTTCCATGAATCATTAGACCCTTTGATATTTATTTACGTGGATGTAAACGCCATTGTAGGTCTGAGGGCTAATATGAGACTATTTTTGGTGTCGTAGACGTAAATCGGAAGAAATAGGGGTCGTGTGTGGCTTCCATAGAAGACGGAGAGTTTCTCGACCGGCTTGACGACTGTTGGGTTCTCGGGGATTCTGCTCTGTTGCTGTTCGCATTGTTAAAGCTCGACCTTCCTGTTGCTAGCAGAAGGAGCGACTCTTTTGCATTGTTAACCAGGGCGTCCTGTCCTGAAAAGACTTTGCTTCTGAGACGAGGGCAATCAATCGTCCCTTCCTACGTATTGGCTGCATACGTGGACGGGGCGGGACGCATTAAGTTTAGCATGTGCAAGAATAATGATAATGGCTCCAGCATTTCTGCAGTGTTGCCAACAAACATTGTTTAGCAATTTTATCGGACTGCAATGCGTATAGTAAGAGTACAGTGTCGGAAGGAACAAATGCGCTTTTCTGTTCCTTTGTTACTAATTCATTATTAACTGGCTCTTTTGTAATGCATTAGATTTTGAGGACGGCGTTCGTCAGTAACTCAACAGATGACATTCATTCTTCACAGATTTACAGCCTCTCAGCCAGTCAAGAAATGTCTCGTCTTTACAAGAACGTCACTGGCCCCTGTCGAATCCACACCCATTCGATTTTTAAGATCCACTTTAATATTATCCTCCTTCCTACGACTAGATCAACGAACATCGCTGACTAGTGTTACCACCCTGTTACTAGTTGAAAAGGTCCCGACTTCAAACCTCTGCCTGGAGACTGGTTGTAATAGCCTTAAATTAGGCCACGACCACTTCCTTCCACATCCTGCCGCCCTCTCATCCGACACTGCATTCTAGATACTGGAAGCGCTGTTAAACAGACAACAAATAAATGGCGTAACAATTTGTAAATCCATTTTAAAGCCGTTTGCAACACCGACGGCAGCAGGCCGGTGTCCCCTGAACCATCCATGTTCGCGACAGTGTCAGTCCTGGACGCATCGCGTCCATCTTTGGCAAAGGCAGTCGCTTGGTTTATTACTGAATGCGAAAGAAAAGTACGGAGTTGCTTTTCGAATTTGGTGAACGGCCATATTTTAGGAGAGTTTCCGTACGTGGGTCTCGGTTTTGTTTTAGACAAAAGCCAAGGTTCTGTGTTGAGAGAGCAATCAATGTTAACACCACGGCTGATTGTGGAATGTGGATTTGTTTTGCAACCGCATTCACGCACTCGGCTCCGAAGAAAATTTCAGGTGCGAACATGCGACATAAACTGAACTGCTTAAGTAAAGCATCTTTCGCGTTGATTTATTGCACGATGGTAACAATTATTTTGGCAAACATTTCTGGATTCCAATTAAAGTGAGTTACATAAGCGTACTGATTTGATGCGGACTGTACTCCGTTTGCCTCTCATAAGTTTGACGAGGATCCAGTATCGCTTGCATAAGAGACTATCGCCAACAATCCTGCAGACATGTTTCAAGCAGCAGTGAATACGGCGCTCCGGGAAGTTTCGCGCCTTGTTTCCTTTTAGCAGTCACGGAAATACTCGATTCGAAGTCAGAGTCAGCACCTGAAGTTGTGCAAGGGTCAGATAAAAGCACTCGGTCACAGCTGATAGCAAAATATGCTGGCCTTGTCTTAACAGCGCGGCAAAAATCTTGCGAACGGAACGGAATTGAAGCAGATCGCCGTGAATTTCGACTTCGACTCTTGCTGTTAGGTTAGGTTTCGTATTTCTTATAAAGGTAATTTGATTTGATGTAGAAATAAATAAATATAATCAACAACTTCAGTAATTATTAGTTTAATTGTATTGGTTAGTATTACATCAGTTTTGGGTTTACAAAAGCTTTACATCTTGCAATATGAAGAGCTTCGTGAATTGGCCTGATCGTCATATATTACAGAATCATGGAGGATGAGACTGGGCGGGCGAGACAAGTAGCACGCACGAATAATGCATACAAAATTCTTATTGGCAAGCCTGAGAAGAAGGGATCACTCACTCAGGAGACACAGACAAAAGAACGTAGTGTTAAGATGGATGTCAGTTGGGACTGTATTGCTGGTGGGGGCATTTCTGGACTAGCTGAGCTACTGTCAACGTCTCTAGAAAGTCAGTGCTCAATTTTAATTTAATTTTCTTTACAGTCTGTATTAGGGTTTTGTTGCATTCAGTTCAAGGTTACATCAATCGAAACTTGAATGATGTCGAAGTTTATATGTCAGAGTTAACACACCAAAGCAACTTTTTTCATGTCTGTAAAAAATTTTGAGGTTAGCATTGAGATCTTGCATTGAAGTTACGTGACTGCTATTCCAAGTATAGAACATCACTTACACCTGTGCCCGTTATGCATGCATTCACAAGAACAAACGCACGTGTATGCGCAAGCGCACACTCATTATTGAATAACGAATGTGCACCAAGGACTGAGTTTCAGAATTGTGCTCTCGTGTCATTTTAAAAACAAATTGTTACAATAATCCCTATGGAGAGGAATAATGTGAAGTAGACCATCGGTACTTTGTTAATCTTTATTGTTTTGCTTCATGCAAATGTCCCATTTTCCTGTTAAGGTAGACTTAATTTGACTTCATTTCAGTCCAGTTTTAACAACTGTTCCATTCTTGCCATCACAAGATTTCCCTTGTAATTCGTTTGTATAAAATCGTCCTATATTATATTAAAAATGCCTCATTTATTATCTGCCTTATCATGATATTTTACTTTATAAGAGTTTGTAAGGGACCCTTAAAAGACACAAACAAATTTATGTATCATTGGCCACTTTTAACTTACGCTTTGTTCTTAGTAATTTCTTATTTATTCCATTTCACACAACGGAAATTTTTTCTGGTAACAGATGTTTGCAGTGCAGATTTAAAAGAACTGCAGTACTCTGATGCTGGCAGATACGCAAATACATTCTGGCAAAGAAAGCTTATACTGGAAGCCAAGAAGCTTTGTTATCACTGGTAGATTTTCTTATTTTGTAGGTGAGTCAATGATGTCTATCTCGGAGCTACTAGGTCTGAACCTACCACGAGGACCATTACTGGGTAACACAAGCCCCTTAGGAGGTAGCAGTCATTATGGATCACCCACAACAAGCCCCAGTAACCCATTTCTTCGCAGTTACCAGGCAAGTGAGATTTATTGCGTACCACAGTGAATGCCGTGTTACACAATAAAATACCCTATTGTTCTGTAAATAAATGTCTTGTAATTAGAATATTTAAGCTTTCCAAACTTTCTTTACAGACTGCAAATCCTTCGAACTTCTCAGTCAAATGTTTTGATGTGCAGAATAACTGATAAGTTTTCTGTTGTACAAATTGATGTAAATAGGTGTTTGAATCGTGTGTTTAAGTGTTGCAGTTGCATGAGAGCTAATTAATGTTTAATTTCTTGCCTTACAAGATAAGACTGGTCTTTGAAATTGCAGGCTTAGAAGTAATTCTTTTTTTACAAAATTTCAAGTTAACCCAAGTGAGTAACAGGTCATCTCATTGATTTAAAATATTTTTTGTGTTCAGTAACTTCCAAAGTTTATTGAAGATTTTCAAAGCATCAGATTTAAATTTGTCATGCGATGCTCAAAAGTTATTTGTAGTGGGTACGAAAGTTTGAAGTCGTCAGGAATTTGTGTACATTTTTCTTATGAATGAAGTACAGAAAATGAAAGGAGAATGGGGGAGGTCATATGCCTCTCATTCTCCATGTTGAGGTTCCAGAACTGTACAGTAGATTTTTTTTTTAAATTTACTTTTAGAAATATGTCCGGAAAGTTGCAGGTGACCGTAGTCTTGATCCATTTCAACGCGATATAAACCTTAGTTACGTGAAGCCCAACCTGGACTTCATAATTGTCCCCAAAAATGGCTTATCATACGAACATCACACAAAATTACAGCCCCATTCGGGTCTGCAACATCTTCATTGAAAACACCTTTTTGATATAATGTATAATTAAAAACGTTTGTTACTGTGCAGCAACAAAGGATTTTAGTAAATGAATATGAAGGTTGGTGCAATGTAAAAAATGATGAACAATTCATTTGGAAAAATTCGCTCCAGCTTCGTGTACACTCTTTTCCTCCTTTAGTCTGTGCTGATTATAAAATCTTTATTAACTACAAGTTCATTTTGTAAGAATTCTGGGACTCCTTATTCTTTTAAATTAAATCTAGTTTAATACATCTTTGCTGTTTATATTAAATATATTTAATAAATTTGTACAGTATGAGGAGCCAAGGCATGAGATGTCAATGCCCTTGAGAGTGCTTCATCGCAACATGGACTCGCCTCTTCAACAGACGTCACCGCCACCTTGCTATGGACGAACATTTCGTGGATCCCCACCCTACAGGTATTTTCTGCTATTAACTCTGCATATGAGTGGACCGGATTCTAAGAAAAAGCTACTTTGAGAGGATGATACACATTGCAGCGTTCAACTGGCATATACAAAAAATATGAATGTATTGTAACAGAATTAAGAAACGAGTAGTTAGTGTGACTAATGACATTTTGAGATTTGATGGTTACGTGGCTCAGAATGAAAATAGATTTTAGAATTTTGACCTGTTGTACCCATTTTAATTATTTTTTCTTGAATAGGGGAATATTATAGCCTATAATATGGGTCTGCGTACGTGGGTGTCCCATAATTTAACCAGTGTATAAATTTAAATGAAACTTTGTACATTCTCACTTCATTATTCCATACCATCGAGAGCAGCTTGGTGGTTGCACTCGCTTCTTACACTAGCACCACACAGTGCAGGACCCTGAACGTTGCATAGTGACTGATTTTGTAAGAAATTAACATTTATTAACATAATTTTTAATATTTTTCCCTTTTCAAAGAATGCTCATGAGGTTCTCCATATTAAGTGCGTCCCATTCTAATTTATGCTTGGTGCAACCTTAAAGTTTCTAATTTTCTACATCAATGTGGCAGATGTATAAAAGTGAGAAGTGGCAGCGAGAATAGGGCATTCAAATTATGCAAGGTAATTGAAATCTGAAAAATATGCCGCAGTTTTTAAGTTCTGTGTGTGTAAACTGCAAGACAATCTGGTGTCAGTGCAGAAACTTTTATTTCACTTCGAGTGTAACAGCAATAATAATAATAATGTCAGTGGTAAAACACTGTAATGTATTTACACTTGCGAGCAGTAATATTTTTACTGTAATGGGATTTAATCCTATGACCATCTGCTCACAAGTTTAGCATCCCAACCCACATGCTAATTTGCACTGCGTTGTCAAATTATAAATTTGTATTATCTACATATAACATTAACAACAAGATTTGTATGACTCAGAGTCTTTGCAATTTGAAATAAAGCTTTGAATTTCGCACGTAACTTTTTGTCTTGAATTACGTGTGTTTAATTCTCAAGTTGACAACAGTAATTAAAGACGTATGATATAGCTCTTAGGTATGTGAAATTTGATATGGATGAAGATCATGATTGTACATCCTTCTGTATGTTAAATATTGAAAACATGGCAATGCTGTGAAGCATTCATAAAGTTTGACAACCGTGCAGTAGTGGGTTTCTGTACGAGTGGAAATTGCGCGTATAGAACAACAAATTATGTGCTTATTAATTGACACCTTTTGTTATCCTCTTCAAAAGCATGAAAAGTAAATTATACATGGCAGAATAACGTGTAGGCCTTTTTTTTTCTTCAGAAAATTAAATATTCTTACTAATTTACTGTGATTAAAACATGTCAGTGGAATACATAACATTATAACATATTAATATGTATTGTTAATATCACTTAAGATAGTGGAGATGAAAAAAAATACTGGGGATATGAAGCTGTGTTAATTCCCTGTTTCAGAAATGTTGTATAGATTGTCATTTTCAAAATCATGGTTTTTGGCTTATTGTTTCACCTGGAGGAAATGAGATGGTTCACAAATATCTTTACAGAGTTGAGCTGTGTGCATTCAGAACCAAACGAAACTTGACATGTAGTCAGCCAATTTGAAGTCCCCCATTACACCATTTCTGTTGATTGGATTGTATCTGAAATCACAGTGTGAACTCTCGTTACCACTAAAGCCGTAGGTCTTCCGTGTTTCTCCGTCTGGAAATGATGAGTGAGCGATGATAATCAACGGGGTTTCAGTTCTGTTGAATATCGAGATTTTGTTTCTGCAGTGACTGCAGCAGCCCGACCCTGGAGCAGGCTCTGCTATTGAAGTGCGCTGCAGGTGGATCTCGCTCCAATTCACCTGCTGACTCAGAAACAAGTGGTGTGAGCAGTATTGATGGCAATATCTCTGACCTCATGGTATGTATGCAGCTCATGCCGAGATTGTTGGTACATCCCTCTCTAAAACATATGTTCATCAGCTATTTAATCATCTGATGATGTCAGCTGCTAGGAGACATGAACCATGGCAGCTTCAGATATTAACTTTGTTGGTTCAACTTAACCTTCGTATGTTTGTGTAGCAGGAATAAACAATTCCGCTGTTTATCTGAGGGGAAAAGAAACTTTTACATGATGCATTAACATTTTAAGGTAAATAAGTACATTAATAATATCATACTTTTTTTTTCAAAATATGAATCTAAAGATAGCAGAAAACATAAATATGTGTAATATTCCTTTCAGATAGAAACAATTTTGTGGATGACGGCTTGAGGAATGGTTCCAAGTGGTAACGTAAACTCCTCTGAACAATGTGTAATTTATTTCGTTGTTGCATGTTGGTTCTTAATAAAGATAATTGTTGTATCGAAACACACAGTGTGGCGTAACTGTGATTTTAAATGAGGCCAGCAGGGGACACAGGGATTTAAGAGCCTCGTACTTCAAAGGTTGAATTGTAATGGTTGTGCGTGGTTGAGAATCAACAGTCGCAGGGACCAAGAGTACTGCGATTGTTGGTGTTCTGGTCGCAGTCTCCATGATCAGCAAGAACATGATAAAGACTTTCTTGTTTCAGAACTGCCTAAGTTTAACGCAATCTACTAGTCCTCTCTCAAGTTTCCAGTTGGGGAGTCCTGAGCAGGATACTGTGAATAGGCACGCTCTCCAACAAGCCATGAGGCCATTGCAGCACTCCACACTACGCTACTTCCAGCAGCAGCAGCAGCAACAGCAGCAGTCCCTGCAGGCCACTCTCTCGTCACTGCTGCAGTATCCATTGCAGCCCAGTACGTCGACCCTCGGACTGGAGAAACCCTGGATCTTCCCCACAAGTTCTCCTAACCAAGACAAACCGTGGTTACCACTGTCACCTACAGGTGGACTGCCTTCTCCCATACCCAATACAAATTCTCTGGAGAGAGCTGCACAGTTCCACAGGAACGCAGCGTGTAAGTCTTATTTCATTCTGTTCTGTTATAGACGGACTACAGAAGAAGTCACAAGAAGTAAGCACAGCGAATCTAGTAATTCAGTTATTAGTGTTTCAGGTTGACACAAACTGAAAGCTCACAATGAAGAGTGTGGTGATGAGGTTTGGATTCATAGGACAGAAAACGATGGTTCCAAATTTCCTTAGTCTCCTGTAAACACAGTAACATGTACCGGTGACCTCTTGTGAACACTGTCAAACTTCCAGGGTCCATAACTGGAGAGTTTCTGGACCAGCTGGACAGCTGTTAGTCTTATAGGCGTACTGTACTTCAATATATTTGCAGTAAATGAGGACGGATGCATAGAAAATTAAAAGTAAAATTGAAAATTATTTTGTATTAGCCATAAAAGATACCAGTCACTGGATTAGAAAAGAAGGCAGACTGTAATAGATGGGAGAGAAAAACTATTGTTCTACTGCCTGTGAGTTTAAACTTCTTTTACTGCAAGGCAAAACATTCAGTTCTTTCTGTGTCGTTTTGCTATGGCTGCGTTATCCTGCCAAAAGTAACAATATTTTGTTCAGTTCAATTGAGGTCTGAAAATATTTTTCACATATTTCTTTAGGATTTCTTGTTCTTAGCATGTGCCTTGGATAGACAGTCTTCCAATTTGACTGCCCGTGTGATGGTATTTCCCAGGCTGCAGCAGTGCTGAAGAGGTTCCATGAAAAAAATGTGTGTCTGTAGGAAATGTCTTTTGTAGGGTAGCGTGCTCTTGTGGAACTGAAACAAAAGTGTTTCTTGTTCTAGCTCTGTACGAAGCTACATGTTCCTGGAGTGGTAATCTGCCTCCTCGGACACAGAAGAACGTATCTTACTCTTGCAAGGTGCGTAATTACATGATGTGTTAGAAACAAGAACAGTTGGCCTCTGAACAGCGACGTAAAGAAGTAAAATATCAGATTAGAGAAATCGCTCCGAAAGGAGCGCGTTGCTCTAGTGTGTTAAAAATTACTAATGAAGATTTTTAGAACGTACAACTACATACAGAGAAGCATCACTAAAACATGTTAATAGTTATTTGTATTGCCGTGACTGACTTCCTGTCAATACACACGTAAGATTACTACACTGATTGAACATCATTTCCAATATTGTTTGTTCTTAAATATTGTGTGTATCGTTAAGCTTAAAGCTACCGTTAGTGTCTTATATTATGCACAAGACGACGATCTCCGTGGTGGCTTACATGCTGCTTCACTTTAAAATTGATTTTAATTGATCTTTGTAATTTGGATTACAATCTTCCATCATTGCTTCATCTGCAGCTTCCCCACTTAAAGTGGTGTGATGTGCACAGAACGTGGAGTTAACTGTTGGACTTATATTGTTTATGTTCCCAATTCTTTTTGCCACTTTTGTTGTTGTTTTGTGTTTTATTCATAAACATACAGAACATTTTGTTCGATTTTATATGGTGGATGAAAAATTAACGGAAGAGTGTTCATTCTGACCATTCTGTTGGACTTCATCATATACTATTATTCTGTTGTATTATTTTGATAACCTAATTTTGGACATTGGTTCTATTTCCATCTACTCTGTTGTCTGCTGGAAAATCAAGTGTCAGTGCAGCATTTCCAGCTGACAAGCCCTCACATGTTGATCTGTTATACCATTTTGTCATCAGGAATTAGTGTTGTAACGTGAAAATTATTGAGAATTTAAGTACCGAATATGTTCTCATTCTGTTGTGACAGATATTCCTAGGTGGTGTTCCATGGGATATCACTGAGTCAATGCTTGTGACGGCATTCAGGAAGTTTGGGTTGATTCGAGTGGAATGGCCTGGGAAGGACCAAGCAGCTTCTCAGCCCAAAGGTTATGTTTATATAATCTTTGAATCTGAGAAACAGGTAAGATAATTACAGTATCTGCAATCAAATAGTTCTGTTATGTTGTTTAGCTAGAAAAATTTGCTCTATAGCTTTGTAAGGAGAATACAGGAGGTTTTATTCAGTCACATGCATGGAATGCTTCTAATAGCCATCATTTTACAGATTTACTGTACATGTACGTTTATTACATTTCACGGATCCAGAAGTTAGTCAGACGACGACAGGATGTGAAATAAGTCATGATAATACAATACATATATACAATTCAGACTGCCGTAAAGATCTCGCATGAGTTAGGCAAAGGGTTCGCGTAAAGTAGTGGTAATGCTACAAATAAATCCATCCATTGTATACGGTACCCATTTATCGTGTATAAAGACAGAAAACCTTTGTGAGATGAAAATATTATGATAAATGTTAATTTGTTGAAAATGGCACGACTCATGTTCTCACACCTTACCAACATGTTACGTGTCATGTTATGTAATAACTCCGAATTTTGATACGGAACTTATGTACTACACGTAGCACGGTGTCTGTTTTCTTTGGAATAATCTATTACAGTACACAGAACAACATAACTGCCATGGTTCACTTTGCAATTTGTTTCTAATTTTTCTTCCTCCATAAGTCATTTCCGCGTCCGTGAGTCGACTTCTGCGTAGCTGCTCTCTGTCTGCCCATACTTGCATTTCATCTACCTTCCTCCATTCTTGCCTTCTCTACATTTCTCTTAACTTAGTCTCTTCACTGTATATTTTGTCTTATTGTGGGTCTTCTTCCATTCATCTTTATTTCCAAAAATCTTTTTGTTATCCATTCTTTTAACATTTCCAAACCATCTCTCTATTTGGTTTTGTATTTCCTTTTTTTTCTTGAGCTCTCCCCTAATGTGTGTCTTTCTGACTCTGTCCCTCTTCGTTGCCCCCACCATTCCTCTTCTGCTTGTTTACTTTCGTCTCTTAGTGCCTGAGCCACGTCTCTACTCCGTGTAATGGCGTCTTTTTAAGATGCACACTAAGACGAAATTAAAATTGCCCTTTCATCCAGATAATATTCCAAAGTTTAAATGACGTAGTAAGCTGAAATGTGTTCTCATACAGGTGAAGGCACTTCTTCAGGCCTGTACGCATGATGTCACTAGTGGTGGCAACTGGTACTACAGAATCTCTTCAAGGAAGATGAAGTCTAAAGAGGTAATGTTGATCTCTACCAAATTGAACTATTTCATGTGGCTTGTTTGAAAACGTCAGGATAATATTTTATGACGCACTGTTTGTTTCAGGTGCAAGTGATCCCATGGGTCCTTAGTGACAGTAACTATATAAAATCATCATCACAGAAGTTGGATGCAAAGAAGACTGTGTTTGTAGGTGCATTACACGGAATGTTGAATGCAGAGGGGCTTGCCAAAATCATGAATGATTTGTTTGATGGAGTTCTGTACGCAGGTGAATATGAAAGGCCCATGGCAGCAGAAGTTTGCATGAGTTCGTGCTTCCTGCCTGGTCATTTTAGGGTACCATTTTAAGGACCTGCTTCTGATTTTGTTTTTGTACTGCAGCATGTTATAGTTGTTGGGTCAAGTTTCAAATGGTACACTCTGTGTGAAGGTAAGAAAAGGATAACCTACTGCATAATCCCAGAGATGTGCTCATGAGAGAATAGGTAGCATCGAGGTCTTTTACATTGTAAAAGTGCACTCCAAATTCTGTAGGTAAATTTTATATTTTTTCATCACTACCTTGATGGTTCCTTGTTCTGATAACTTCTCATCTGGTAATGCTAATTTATTTAATATATACATATAAAGGCTTAAGCATTTTACTTTCCCAGAATTGCACTTAACCCTTTGAGTCCCAAAACATTG